CCAAAACCAGTCCATTGACACACACATATATATGAAGACCCAAAAAATTTGAAAACATTGATTTTCAAGAAGCTTCGAATAAAGTTTGCTGGTCTTTTTGTACGATAAATTGCCTCTAAACACATTTTTAAAGCCCGATGGACTAAGCCACTTAACAAATGTTCATTGTCTTTAAAGACAATACCCCAAACGCTCAATACATTTCTTGGCCATTAGGGCTGTTGGAGGATTTTTTAAAAATATTTGGGCAAAGGAAACCTAAGTTAATAGTGCTTGTGAATTTATGCATTTTTAAATTACACCTTCTCCCCATTTCACTTTTAGCACTTGTTTCAGAAGTTGTCAAAACACTGCTAATAGTATGATTACTTTATTTGTTCCATGGACATTAAGAGTTACATCCATCCTTGCGTAAACATGAATTCATGGTTGCAATGTTTTTAAAACGGACCCGGAGAATGAGCTGGTCAAGGGTCTGGTTCCTGGGTTGAATAAATGATTGGCCCATTCTAATAAAAAAATTAAAAAATAAAAAATAGTTAAAATTATTTGAACGGTTCAAATGGTTAACTATTCAGGTCAGTGGTTTGCTGACCAAAATCAATGGATTTTAGGAAAAATTTAGTTTTGGGGAAAAATAGAACCGGTCACCTGATTGGTTCCCAGTTTTTTCCGGTTCAACCATTCGGTCCGATCCAGATTCTGACTTAATAAATTTTGGTTTTGATGTGCATGAACGAGTTTGGAGGTACATAATAAATTTTGGTCATGGTTCAAAGTATCGATATGCCTCCGTTTATTGGCAAAGGCGTATTGGTACTTTGATACACATGGAGATGTTTTGTTTTATTTTTTTTTTCAAAATTTGGTTTTTGGGGAGTTATAAAGAGTATTTTTTATTAAAAAAGAATGGGGTCCCGAAACACTTGTAAACAGGCATATGGGGACCCGAAAGACGATACCATATGCCCTATACAGGGCATAACGTATTGATTTTTTGAACCTTGATTTTGGTTTTGACGTGCCAATCACAAGACTATTTATGACCCAATTTGGAGTGCTTATAAAGTCTTTGTTAGGTAAATAATAAATACCTCTTGAACTTTCATTTGGGGTAAAGATCCCTGAACTTTCACCTTACAATAAATACTCCACTCATCGTTATGTTAGATGACATAATGCTTTAAGTTTTCAAAATACCCACCCAAGTTTTCTTTATTTTTCTTTTTCTAGCCCTAATTGACCAAAATACCTCCATATTCTCTAAAGGAAACCAATTAAAATAATCAAAAAAAAATATTTCTTGATCTATTTCAATGACATGAATATCTTCTCTCTTCATCTTAAAATATAAAAATTATCCACTCCTTTCTCCAATAAACTAAGAAAAAGCAAATGAAACCATAAATTTATACCTACCAAAAAGAAACTTCTACCATCTCATTTAAATATTGAATTCATCCAAAAATCTACACGGACTTCAATGTTATATTTAGAAAACTAATTGAATAATAAATTATTTAAATAAATTTAAAAAATATATTTTGTTGATTAAAAAGATTTTAAACAGCTGAATGAGAATCTTTTTTTGAAGTTAACGGAACCTAACTCTAATGGAATAGTTTATCGCAAACGAAAATTCAGGAGGTATTTGTCAATGACCCTATGGTACAAGGAATGATGGCTCAGTTGAGATGGTGAGTCTCGGAAATAAGAGGCGCAGGATCAAATCCATGAAAACACATTTGCGGTATAGCCAATGAGCACGTGCACATGCTCTGTTTGTCTATAATGCAGACTCTGTAATATCAAGAGAAAAGTAATTTTATTGGAAAACAATCGTTTTTTTTTTGTTAATATATTAAATAATATTATCTTATAACTAGAACTAAAAATCTTTGGGAAGAATGAGTAATGCACCAACCAGAAATTGAATGACTAATCCAAGAGAGATTGCTGTGAGAAAGGGATCATGTTGAGGAGTGTTTAGTGAATCGATCCGTATCTTCACCTTTTATGGAAAGTTTCGTTTTCAGTAGGAGTAAACTTCCACAGAGCTTCGGCATTGAACCACTCACCACGCCAACAACAGTGATGTAATTCGCTCTTTCTGTTTCCGGAGTGGAATCCTCACTTACGCTCATCTAGTACTGTGTTTCAGTACTAGATAGTAGATACCGTATGGCTTAACTAAAACAGAACCACAAATAGCCATTTATTTGATGGAAGCCCCTCGGTCAGGACTCAGGATAACAGGACCCATAAATGGACTGGACCCCTTCATAACTTGCCATCTGTACTGTGTTTCAGAGATCAGATCTACCATTGAGTGGGTCTGATACACCAACAATTCCGGAAAATATCAATCAAGATGAGCACAAAGTTAGACGTTCCACCCGAGTAAGGAAAGAATTACATCTACAAATAAAGAAAACCTGTCAAAGCAGATTTGTGGAGATGATGAACCTATAATCAAGGAGAACAGATGGAGAGAATTGTGTCACGATAATTGCCTATAATCAAGGAGATTTGCTTCTTATTTGTTAAGTTGTTTTGGTTAATTATTTTGCAAGACTATATATTGTCCTTTGCTGTATTATGGGATGATCAGAGAAATAATATCCAAACTTTCTACTAATCTTCCTAGTTGCCTTCTTTCATTCTGTTTCTCCCCCGTTCTTCTTTCCTCTACCTTCCCGTAGGAGTAAGCACTCGCTCGAAAGAGTGTCGAAACCGATACAAGACCGTATCAACTGGTGCTCTCATTGAGATCCAATCTTCACCCGTTATCGTTCGAAATTAGGGCCAACCAATCCGAAATTTTCAACACCACGCAAGAAAACCTTCTTGCTGCCATAAAACAACAATTTGACACATTGAATATTCAAATTCAATCCTTGCAAGCAAAACACGATTCTCAAACATTATCACTCGAAACCATGCAACACCAAATTGGGCAACTGCAAACTCAGGCTCGTGGCAAGGGAGTTGATACCAATGGAGGAAACTCTTCAGGATTGCTACCTACCCCCGCACTGCCAGTGCTCCAAAATCGAACGACAACAACAGGTGATTCCGAGGCAGCCCGTTCGTTGAGACTTAAAGTTCCCCGCTTCGACGGTACCGACCCATTTACATGGATCTTTCGTATCCAACAATATTTCGATTTTGTAGGGACCGCAGAGGAACAGAGGCTACAGATCGTGGCATTTAATATGGAGGGATGGCGTCCGAATGGTTCCGGTGGATGTCCAATAACAACTTACTGACCAGATGGGCCGATTTCCACCAACAAGTCAAGTTACGATTCGGACCTTCACAATTTGAGGATTACTAAGGCGCCTTATCCAACGAGCGTCGGTGAGCGAATACCAAGCAGAGTTTGAACGACTGATGAACAGAGTCATCGGTATTTCAGAGTCCTTGCTAATCTCTTTTTTTACATCCGGGCTAAAACCAATGCTACAACGAGAGTTGTTAATTGCGCGGCCAAGATCCCTGAATGAAGCTTTTTCATTAGCTCGCATGTTCGAAGCCAAGTACGATGGAAATCCCGCGAGCTCTAGTTCGATAACAAGGTGGCAGAGTAGGAACGTAAGTTTAGCCCAACATTCATCTTCAATCACAGTACCTATATCAAGTCCGCCACCTACATTGTCTAGCAATAAACCAGCCCTGCAATCGGTTTTTCCGCCTTCAACAATTCAAATATCCCCATTAAGCGGTTGACACCGAGTGAAATGCAAGAACGACAGCAACGGGGATTATGCTACAATTGCGACCAAAAATGGTCTCTCAACCATAAATGCAAAAGCAAGTCTTTCATGCTGTTAGTAATAGAGGAGGATGACGCCGACGTCGTAACTGCGGAGGACAATGGTAGTACARAACCAGATGATTCCGTCATCACCGGCGATATTTCGAGTCTCAACTCCATGGCAGGACCGGGTAGCCCTCACTCATTGCGAATATGGGGCGAAATTAATTCTCAACGAGTTAATGTATTGATTGATAGTGGGAGTACCCACAATCTGATTCAACCCAGCTTAGCAGAGAGGCTACACTTGCAGGCCACACCCATTTCGGCTTTCAAAATCTATATTGGCAACGGAGATTTCATGGTGTGTAATTGTAAGTGCCAACAGGTCTTATTATCTATGCAAGGTCACCAAATCCCGGTGGAATTATTCGTCCTTCCCATTCAAGGCCTAGACGTGGTGTTAGATGTCTAGTGGTTGCAAAACCTAGGCGTGGTTGCTCAAAATTTCGTTATTCCATCAATGGAGCTTCAATGGAACGAGGAAAAAGTTGTGTTAGGGGGAGACGGCGCTTTGAGCCCAAAACGAATATCCTTCAATCAATTACAGGCACTTGTCTCGGCCGAGGGTGTGACGGACCTTTACGAATTGTACCACTTACAACATGATGCACCACCAAAAGGTGACACCACCGTCATCCAATTTCTAGACGAATTACCAGATGCAATTACTCAGGTGTTGCGGCACTACGAGCATTTATTTCACCCTCCTACAGACCTTCCGCCTCACCGGTTTCAAACACATCGAATTCACCTCTTATTGGGGATGAAGCCAGTGAATGTCCGGCTGTACAGATACCTTCACTTCCAGAAGACGAAAATGGAAAATCTAGTTAAAGAAATGCTGGATCAAGGGATCATTCGCCCAAGCCAAAGCCCATTTTCTTCTCCGGTTCTCTTGGTTCGCAAAAAGGATGGTACGTACCGATTTTGTGTAGATTATAGAGCCCTAAATGCAATAACCGTCAATGATAAATTCCCTATCCCCACCATTGATGAGTTGTTTGATGAATTGGGCGGCGCCACGGTGTTTACCAAATTGGACCTCCGTGCCGGTTATCATCAAATACGTGTGCATGAGAATGATATCTATAAAACTACATTTAGGACTCACGAGGGGCATTATGAGTTCTTAGTTATGCCATTTGGGTTGTCGAACGCGCCGTCCACATTTTAGGCCACCATGAACAGGACGCTAGCTTCCCATTTATGTAAATTCGTGGTCGTCTTCTTCGACGACATTCTGATATACAACGCCAATGAGGAGGAACATGCCCAGCATTTGCAACAAGTTCTTCAATGCTTGGAAATTAATCAATTTTATGTAAAGCTCTCCAAATGCCATTTTTGTCAACATTCCATTGATTACTTGGGTCACATAGTGGATGAACGCGGGGTGCATGCTGATCCTAGGAAGGTTGATACTGTGCTCAATTGGCCACCAATTACAACTCTCAAGCAACTTCGTGGGTTTTTGGGGCTTACGGGTTACTACCGCCGATTTATTAAGGGGTACGCCCACACCGCGACACCACTGACCGAATTGCTAAAGAAGGACCAGTTTAAATAGACAGAAGACATAGACGTTGCATTCGAAGCGTTAAAAGAGGCAATGTCGCAGGCTCCCGTGCTAAGGCTACCCAACTTTGATCTCACGTTTATCATCGAAACAGATGCATCCAATGTGGGGGTGGGTGCGGTGTTGATGCAAGAAAACCAACCAATCGCCTTCTTTAGCAAGAAGTTGGGGATACGAATGCGCGCCGTCTCAACTTACCATAAGGAACTCTACGCCATTGTTGAGGCGGTTCACAAATGGCGACAATATCTGTTGGGTCGTTTCTTCATTCTCCGTACAGATCACTGCAGTATTAAGAACTTCTTCAGCAGGTGGTGCAAACTCCAGAGCAACAGATTTATGTCCGAAAAGCTATTGGGCTATAATTTTCAGATTGAATACAAGCCCGGGCGCGCTAACCAGGTGGCTGACGCTTTGTCCCGCATGCATGAAGACGAACCACCGGAGTCTGAACCTGCTACAACCATGATGATCACGAGTTTCTCGACCCCGGCATTTTTGGATCAGCTGCGCATTGAGAATGGTACACTAACCGACTTGATACAGCTTCATCAAAAACTTGACACTGGTTCGTTGCCCCCTTACTATACCAGACATGATGGGCTCTTGATTTACAAAGGGCGGTTTTATATTAGCCTCGACTCCGCGCTTAAGAACAGACTACTACGGGAATTCGACCCCGATGGCGGGCCATGTAGGCGTGGAACGTACTCTGGTGCGACTGTCAACCAACTTCTTTTGGCCCAAAATGCGCAAGGATGTGGAGACATTTGTGGCGGAGTGCTTGATCTGTCAACAGATTAAACATTCAACACAGGTGCCAGCAGGGTTGCTTCAACTGCTCCCTATTCCGTCACAAGTTTGGGATGACTTGACGATGGATTTTGTGGTGGCTGTACCTGTATCCCATGGTTATACAATTATTATTGGTGTGGTCGACAGGCTGACAAAGTACGCCCATTTTGGAGCATTACCCGCAAATTTTTCGGCAATCAAGGTTGCGGACCTGTTTACCACCATGGTGGTCAAGCTCCATGGTTTTCCTAGCACAATCGTGTCAGATCGAGATCCCATTTTTATGAGCAAATTCTGGAGCAAACTTTTTGAGCTAAGTGAGACGACGTTAAAGCATAGCAGCGCATATCACCCTCAAACCGATGCCAATCTGAGGTGGTAAGCCACGGCTTGGAGCAGTACTTACGCGCTTTCGCCCAAGACAAACCAAAGAGCTGGTATGGTTATTTGGGGTGGGCAGAATTAAACTATAATACCAGTTACCATAGTAGTATCAAAATGACTCCGTTCCAAGCCTTGTACGGACGTCTGCCGCCAATAATTCCACCATATGTCCAAAATACCACCAAGGTCCACGCTTTGGATGAGATGTTGGAGGAACGCGATTCCCTACTTAAACAGTTGAAAATTCATCTCCGCGAGGCGCATCACCGCATGGAGCAAAAAGCTAACAAGAAATGGAGGGAACTAAGTCTAGAACCAGGGACCAAGGTATGGGTCAAGTTACAGCCTTACAGACAATCCTCCGTGGCGCACAGGTCATCTAACAAGCTGGCCAAAAAATATTATGGGCCATTTATAGTCCTTGAGCGCATTGGCACGGTGGCATATCGCTTGGATTTACCTGCTGATTCTAAAATCCATCCCGTCTTTCATATCTCGGTGTTAAAGCCCTTACGGGGTGAAGAAATCGGTGCTCCACTTGCATTGCCTCAAGACGCAGTGGACAATAGATCAGTCTCGGTACCAGTGGCAATTTGTGCAACGCAACAGGTTCTCAAACATGGGAAGGTTGAAACTCAAGTACTTGTACAGTGGAGTGATGGGTCACCCGACGATGCTACATAGGAAGCACTTGAGGAAATTAAGCAGCTATATCCGAATCTACACCTTGAGGACAAGGTGGTGCTACAAGGGGAGGAGAATGATACACCAACAGTTCCGGAAAATATCAATCAAGATGAGCACAAAGTTAGACGTTCCACCCGAGTAAGTAAAGCGGCACATTGGATGGATGATAATTACATCTACAAATAAAGGAAAACCGTCAAGACAGATTTGTGGAGATGATGGGCCTATAATCAAGGAGAACAGATGGAGAGAATTGTGTCACGATGATTGCCTATAATCAAGGAGATTTGCTTCTTATTTGTTAAATTGTTTTGGTTAATTATTTTGCATGACTCTATATATTGTCCTTTGCTATATTATGAAATGATCAGAGAAATAATATCCAAACTTTTTGCCTAATCTTCCTAGTTGCCTTCTCTCATTCTGTTTCTCCTCCGTTCTTCTTTCCTCTACCTTCACGTAGGAATAAGCACTCGCTGGGAAGAGTGCCGGAGCCGATACAAGACCGTATCAGGGTCCAGATTAAAACATTTGATATATCTAAAATCAGCACGATTAGATGAATTCTAGCCAATTTGACTTGGCCCCCCCTACAGAACCAGCATGATTAGATGGATAGCCTGAACAGGACTGGGTTTGGCCTGGGGCCCCTAACACCGGACTCATAAAGGATAAGGACCCATCACTTCAGAGAGTTTTGCACAGAAGCAGCATCATTAGATGACCTTGAGCCAACTGACTCACGCATTCTCTTTTCAGCTTTCTGTTTGGATGGGACATTTTTTTCCCGAGGTCCAAATGTAAGCATCAGAAGCATATATCTGCTGCCCTTTCAAACTGAATCCCTTCTCAGACCCCAAATTCCCAATCGTCTTGCACAGAGCTTTAGTTCATATCTATCTGTCCATCCGGTTCAGCATATCAAAATTCAACCCATTTTGTAATCACTAATCAATTTGAATATAGATCTACCCCAGTTCGATCCAATGAGATCCCAGCTTTTTTAATAAAGGATCATGGATTCATGTGCCGTATAAATGATTTTTAAGTCACTGTATTCATAAGATATAATATCAGAATCATTCTTAGTTTATATTGTTATTAATTTATAATTTTTTGCTATTCTTATTTAATTGATTGATCAGGATAATAGGTCATTAATAAGATTGATATAATTGCTCATTGTCCTGAGATATCAAATTTAAATACAATGGTTTGAAGTTTGAACCATCACCAACAGAAGGGTTCGAAAAATCCAGTTTTGGGTTCGATCAGATTGCTTTCGTCTTGAGACAATGGATTGAATGGCTCAAATATCCATGTTAATGAGAATAAGGTTTGGCTAAGCACGATGACTGTTCAACAGACTGTGAAATCAATGATAAGATTTGGCTGAACGCCAGTATTTAAATACATGAATTCATACTTTTTATAGAGGGACGCATGAATTTATTACTGCTGAACAGCCATAGCATTCAACTAGTCCGAATTCTTTTAATGGTGGGTTGGAATATGATATGTGGAGTACTTTGGACCAAAACTTACTTATACACCTGTATTTATTAGATTGCAGAAAAAAAATGCTTCTTAAAACTGAAGAGAATTTATGCGATTTTTTTATAACCAATGCAGGTGAGAATTATTGTAACATGGGCGAATAGTTGGTTAGTAGGACAAGCCGGGTTGCGGGGTTGGGCATGAGTGTAATCGGGTTAGGGCTAGGTTGGTTTTCTGAGATGTCCATTTGCCACGTGTTAAAATTATAATCAAAGGTTTTTATAATTGGGCTGGACATGCTGGACATGGAATTATTTTGGGATTGGTTCTTGGGTCGAACAGTTGATCATCCAGTTCGAATGAATGGCTTGTTCTAATTTAAAAAATTAAAAAGGCCAAAAATTATTGTTTAGATCAATAATTCCGTAGTTATAATGCACGGGCATTCTTATATATTGAGAGTTTTTGGTTTTAATAAACGTTTGTACTTGTGTGACTGTAAAATCAAAAAACACATTTAATAAAGGCGTTTATGATATATATGCATCATTAGGAACTACATCAACAAAATGTCAATAAATGTCTATCCATTTTAAGAAAGTCTAAAATGAAACTTCATGAAGAAAGACAATATAAACTGAAGTTTGCCTTTGCAAACTCTAATACACAAATATAATTAATAAAGCATTTGCTAATGGAACACCTATGTAGCACTAAACGAAACCAAACATATACATTATCAATTTGAATATTTTTATCCTACCCTGATTCACAACTAGAGCGGTTTGGGGCAGGAAATGGTTATTACCAAACCCGAACCCTACCTCATAAATGTCGAATACATGATTCTTGTGCTGGGCTTTCACACCTTCAAAGTTCAAATCCAGATTTCCTAGAGTTTATGTTTCTCTCATCCTTCTAGTAGAGTTTACATCCTCTACGGGTTACTCCTCAAGACACATTATATCCGTACAACATGGGCCCCATATGCCRTGCTGACGCGGTAGTGTCAAGATTGACAGATTGTCTCATGAATCGTACGGTCTTGGGGTCTTCGTCTTTACTGTCTAGGATTTTCGTCCGGGAACCGTAGAGGATTGAGGATTCAGAGTGGAGAGTGGAGAGTGGAGTCTCGCGGGTCGCGGTTCGTTGGTGATTGCTTGCAACAAATTGCTTAATGTCTATCCGTTGGATGAGAATCAAGAGAAATCACAAGATCTTTACCTGCCCATGGTACAGCATCGATTTTCTTGGATTCCAATTGAATGGTTGACGGAAGTCGTACTTACCTAAGCACGTTTTTCTCTGTTCCGCAGTTAAGATTTAAGAAAACTGTTAACACCGAAAGTCCAAGTCCAACATGCCACCCACATTAGCTTTAATCGTGCCGCGTGGAACTGGAATTACCTCGCGCGTGCGAATCAAATCTACTATCTCCGGTAAACACGTGCGAGAAGTAAAGTAGAAAAGTGGCACTGGGTCACGCTCTTTGCGAAGCCGAAGCCCGAAGACCTGTAGTGTCAGCGATAGATTAGGATGAACTTGGATCATGATCTCCAAACGCTTGGATCAGAATCTTCTTATCCTTCGATTCGAACAACTTGTCTTTTCTTATGTAGTCTCTGATCAGAGAAACGATTCCAATCCAAGCGTCATCAGCTGGAGCCTCAGATAGGGGTGCACTTAAGAGACGAGCCGTCAAGGACACGTGTCATAAGTGGGCCCGTGGATATATATATGGAGAGAAGGGCCAGAGAGAAGAGAGCTGAGGGCAGGGGGTTGGGTGAGCATCTACTCCAACGCCACATAAAACCGGATATATAAATTCATTATTTAAAACCAACAGGTATTCTTCGTAACCATTTTTTTCTTCACACTTCGCTTTTTCACTTTTCTCTGTCTCCTTCTCCCCCACCTCTGACCTTCCCTTCTTTCTCTTCCACACCATCCCCTTCTGTCTGTTTTCCTCTCTGCTCTACCGATAACGAGATGATAGAAGACGAGTGGGTTAAAGCGGCCTTCTCGGACGATTATTTGGTGGCCGAGTTGTTGATGCGTCTCAACAAGGCGGAAGAGCACGCGTCCCCGACGGTGAAGAGGCTGGCGGCGGTGCCTCCGCTCGGCTGGGGCGTAAGACAGCCGCGGTCCAAGCAGGTAGTGAGATGCAATATTGTGCAGGCGAAGAAGGAAGGTGAGTCGTCGACACGGGCGAGTCCCACCACGCCACTGTCGTGGAGCGGTGGCAAGTCTTTTAGTGGTGGTGCAGCCGACGATGGGTGCGAAGAGTCGAGCAAACCAGCCAAGAGGCCAAGCGGCGGGAGATCTAAGGTTAGTTTCATTCTTTTTCGCCTCTCTCGTTCCTCCTCTTCCGTCGGTCGGTCGGTCGGTGTCACTTTTTCGGTTGCCGGATCTTTCTGAGTCTTAGTTTCTTGGGGGTTTCATTGACCGAAATACCCCTGATGCTTTACTGGTTGGTAGTTGGTACGTGGTTGTCCTCTATTCGTCGAGTCGCCGATGTCGTTGGATTGTTTTTTCCGTTTTCGTTTTTTTAATTTTATCAAGACTACAATCCCCGTGAATGGACGCATTTACATCAAATCGTTGGGCGCTTGGGCTGATTTCAGATTCTCAGAGCACGCAGCCTGTTCGTTGTTCGTTGTTTTGGATTCCTTCCTTTGAATCAGCAGAGGAAATAGCTTCTGCTTCTGTGTGAAGAACGAGTAGGACGAACAGGCGAAGCAATGCTGATACATCGATCTCCGGGGTAGTCTCGTCATTTCACCGGACGGATCATCCGTAACCTCCGGTCGTGGCATCTTCGATTATTTGCTTCCAAATCTTATTTTTGGAATTTAAGCAGACTAGATTGCCCCCGTGAACGATTGAATTACCATTGGAAGGTCTTCGGGTCAGAGCAAAGGATTTTAAAGGTCTCCTTCACGTTTTTTTCTCTCCTGTTTTTGGTCACCTGTCATCCATGTTTTTTGGTTTTCTGGGCATTAGACAGTGGCTGAGTGCAAATTGACTACCATGTCCCCCAGAATTTCTTTAATACTTCATCGTCGCCCAGGGACAAACCCGGTAGAATGCGTCTTTGGTCATTACCGAGAACCCGGAAAGTGTCCACTGTCTAGGGTCATCGTCGCGCGGTCATTCTCCTCTTCTTTTTGTCTAGGGTTGAGGGTTCTGTATCAAGTTTCACCTTTTTAAAATGACGAATACGCCCTTCTCCAGAGTCAAAACCCTCTTTTCCTTGGGAAGTCATAAATAGGGACCTTTCCGTCAGAGGGTTGCCGATTATTTTTTATCGCAAACTATTTTCTCGGTGGCGTGATGTCGTGTGGTTAAGTGGTCCCCACCCAGCTCTTGTGAGTTAGCGAGAGAGATGGCGTTAGGTCTATGTTCGGTTTGGTGTAGTAGTGTTGTTAGTGTTGTTGTGAGAGAACAAGTACTACGTGTAAACGGCGATGTTTGGTGTTTTGCACGGCTCAGATCGATGGCCTCCCATATCGATCTGTCGGTCCCTCGTTAATGCCTCTTTTATTGTCACCTTCTGTTATTTACTTATTTTCCCCCGTTTTTATTAGAAAAATTATTACCTCGACGGAGAGATTTGTTTACAAAGTTGGACACCTAGTATCCTACCTTTTGCCCTCCGTTGGATGTGGAGGGAGTGGATCTCAAGGTGACGCCTGGTTCGGGAGATCGGATGGGATGACAGGTGGCGGACATCCATGGTGGCCTGTGGTTGTGGGATTCATTATCTGATGGGTCCTACCCCGTATTTATCTGATTTTTTTTATTGTATGGCACAGGGAGAATGGGAGAGATGTTCGTTTGCGGTGGGTCCCACGCGCCCACTGGTTGAGTCTGTTAGACTTGTGGTTGTCTCATGGTTGTTTCTTTCGTTGCACCCCTTCAGATACGTCTAGGTCGTCTAGTCTACAGTCTACAGTGTATACCAACCAGAGGGGAGAGAAAAATAAGGAAGAAAAAGAAAAAGAAAGCAGCGGAGGACTCTTTCATGCATGGAAATCTGTTTTGACCGTAGATTCGGATGACGTATCCGACCGGTCAGTTCGGGGCGACCTAGGGAAATTAATCTACTCGATCGATTCTAGCCGTCGGATCGCGTCGTTTGTCTGTTTCCACGTGTGTTTGATTTAGATCTAAACGACTGTGTGCGTCTATTTGCGTGGGGCCGCGGAGCCCTCAGTGGACCCCACTCACGTAAACTGTTGGTCAGTTGGGCAGTTATTCTGTGATATCCGGGCTTATGTGCGGCTGCCACAGACAACCGACCAGACAAGAGGCTGCTCCCATTTAATTCTTTCGGTTTCTTGTTGCAGTGTATTACGGATTTACTGTGACAACCCTGTTGCTTTTCATTTTGAGTTCTGTTTGGACTAGTTTTAAGTTCTTTGATTTGTTCGTTACTCATTTATTTCTTCCGTTTCAGGTCACCCCCACAAACGAAAACACTACCGCCACCACCACCATCACCACCACTAGGAGATCAAGAAGGAAGAAGGTATTATTATTGAAATTTGTTACTAATAGAATGTAACGGATTTGGATGGTTTTGAGTTCTTTTGACCATCCAATCACATTAATTTTTTGTAGTCCCCTCTACAGTCCTGTGCAAGTTTGAACAGGTTTCAGTAGGTTGAACTGAAGAGTATTTATTGATCATTTTTCAGACATTTGCGGAACTCAAAGAAGAGGAGAGTTTACTGTTGAAAGAAAGGACGCATTTGAAAAGGGTCTGACTCTGCTCTCTTCCCCTCCTAATAGAACATTCCTTTTTGTAAATTTGCCATTTGGGGATGCTGATTCATGCCACCCATTTGATAAACAGGAATTGGCAGCACTACGGATCACTTTGGAGGAACAGAGAACACGAAATGAGAACTTGAAGAGAAGGAAGGTGACTACCTCTTTCTTTTGTTGTTTGTTTTGTTTACCTTTTCGAATTTAGACCTGTTTCTTTCACAAAGTTCTCAGGATTCCATCTTTACTTTACCCTGATGCGATATGAATTCCAATCTCCAGCCAACACAACTGTGTTGAAACATTTCTTTTCACGAGTCAAATAACTTGACCGTGCATCTGTCACTGTTGTTGAAAATTCGTTTAGTTTTGTCGTTAAGATAATATTAAAAATATTGTTTCATAGAGAAAGTCTCCGAAAAACTCTTTGCAATCTAAGATGATCATATATGGCTTAATAACTTAACATGCAAATTTTTAAAACGAAGATACTCTGTCAAATTATTTGGTGGCACTATTACATGGACGCTTTGCCTCCAGTTCTATGCCCTAAGGCCATGTTTGGTTTGAAGGAAAATGTAGGGAAAGGAAGGGAAGGGTAGGGAAACCTTTACAAACCTTGTATTGGTTTCCCTGTCTTTCCCTTCCTTTCCCTACCTTTTCCTTCAAACCAAACATAGCCTAAAAGTATGGTGGGATCAATTCAGCTTTCTTGTTTTGACAATTTTGTTGAGACACCATGTATGTAGTTCATAGAACTAAGGAGCAAGGCATCAAGTGTTGCTTGCTAGTATTGCTGCTGGAATATTTATCTGAGAATTAAAGGTAAACTTTAGTGACTAGAGTTCAATTAGTTGTTTCTCTCTTTTATTCCATTTGGAATATATTCTGAGATAAGTTACAGGCTGTCGCAGTGCTTGTGATTTGACTTCATGTGATCGCATGTGAAAATGTTTGTGCTAAAAACTTAACCGGGTGATTACCCAGCCTTGAATATGTAAAGAAGATGCTACAAATTTTGGATGAGAGTCATGATGAGATGGTACAATCAACTATTTGTTTGATTTTTGGTGTGAAACATCTCCCTTAGATTTACCCCTTGATTGCCGACTCAGAGAGACACGACTAAACAAAGAGAATGTAGCTTATTTCACAATCTGAGTGAAAGAAACTTACGTAAAAGGAGTTTCCTACTTTACGTTGATTTGTTGTTTTGCTGGCGAAATTTGAAAAGGTGTGACAGAGCACTTAATTTTACTCTACTTTGATACTCTGCAGCTCGATTTGCAAAACCAATCGGCTAACAAAGCAGTCACGCCAAAGGAACCACTCTGTGATGGACCCCAACATATTGAATCAGTATCAGTTGTGGACACTCCTACAGGCGAGCCAACAACTGCCCCACCCAATGAGCTTGATGCTGCAGTATGTTCATCTCCTCCTTCCGAATCGCACGAAGTACGAAATAAAGATGTTTGTAGCAGGGAGAGTCTCTTTGTACTGCCTGATCTAAATCTGCCTCTGGAAGATGATTCCGGCCCCGAGGATTTATATGGAATGAGCTAGGAAAGATAACCCACAATCATCTTCTCTTTTCTCCAAGCAACAGTCACTGAATCAGAAGCTCAATCAAAAGGGGATACGCCATGGCACTGATGACCCTGCAAGTTGGGCGAGTTGTCCTAACTGTACATAGGAAGAATCCATATCTTCCATTGGAGGAAAAATTAGAAATAATACCGCCGACTACAGTTGCTGATTGTTGGCGGTGAGTCGCGAAGAAGGTACTGAGGGCAGAGCGTTGTAGGGATCCTAACCATTAGATGTTGATAGATTCTTTTTTGTAGGTTTCTGCATTTGTCCAGAATTCTTTGGGGCCGACCCTCATTACTTGTTTTTTTCTAATATTTTTCCTCGAAACAGTTACATATAAAAGTGTAATTAAATGAATCATGGAGGGCTCAGATAATGGGCACCTCTCTTGAAACATTTTGTATCTAAACCGGACAGAGTTTCTGTTCCCCACTAGCTGCTGGATTAGTTTTTTTCTCCAGATTCTCTGCCGAATTTATCATTGTGTGTAGTACAATTATGCGGGTTTGTTGAAGCATTCAAGTTCTTCTGCAACTGTTTTCAGACTCGGCCATCGATTCTCTCATCAGTTATCACAACTTTGAAATTTGAGCGTGGTGGAGGTAATTCTTAAACTGTTGGCTCAGATGAACTAGGCCTTGTAAGAAGCAACCTAACTTGATTTGATCCATTGAGGCCAGCAGCAAATAGAGGATGTAAATGCAGTGACCAAGACGGACACCGCCAGTACAAGCTGCAATTTCATAATGGTTGAAGCGTGACCTTCAATGATTCATTGGTCTATGTATGGGCCCTGGGCCCAGTAGCACGCTGCAGGATGCTAATTCGTTTATGCATTTAGTATATTCACCTTCCGATGGTGTGTCTTGGAAGGGAGGGAAGGTGGGTGGGAGCTTCCCCTTTTTTGTTTGCGTTCATATGAGCGTGAGACTGTTGGGGGTTGGAGGATGCAGCCATAACTCATAAGCCATTTGTCTCGCTTTCAGATGACTGGGATCGTTAATTTGGATGTACAGACTTGGGAAGGCCAAAATGGTGAAAATACCACCTTGAGCGCAATTGCGCAAGAAGACAACTTAGTTCACAGTTCACTGCATTTGTTTAGTACGGTGGATAAGAAGGAATTCCAAGTCAAACAAGAAGACAATTTAGGGCTGCCGACTGCCTGCACTGCACCCCGCGTGGAGCTTATCGATTGGTCTGTTCTAGCTCCAACATTGTATGTGGTTTTTCGGTTCTGTTTGGGCGGAGGAAAAGATGGAAGCTTGTAGTAGGGGTTGGCTTTATGCTTTCATGGTTGGGGCCTTGGGGGTGAGCAGACAACACACCAGAGGTGGGTTTTTCATTTTTGTGGTAGTCTGGATTAGTGAGTGGATTAGAGGAGATAAGGACGACTGTAGATGGAGATAGTGCGGTTGACATTTGGTTTAGTGGACCCAATTCTTTCGGTCCTAGCTTTCTCAAACTATGGTCTGGATTCTGGATAATCGTGGAGAATGTTCAAAGCATTGATACGACCGATACTGAAAAATCTCATATCGAGCGATTGAAAGCATCGATTCTCTCTCTCTCTCTCTGTTTTACAGAATACAGACCTTCAGTTTTAGTGAACCCCATTACAATTCCATTGTATAAACTTGACAGATGTCCCCTAATCTCCCAAACTCAGTCCAAAACCCAATCCCTACTCCATCAGGCCATCACCTGACAATTGACATTGCAAGGTTTTTGACTCTTCCACCATCCGGATCGTTGATTTATTAGACCAGAATTTGTGGTGGAAAAAAATCCAATCACACGATTGAATGCAAAATTAATTAACTTATTTTCCCCCTTTCTTCTCTTCTTCTCTCATAGTTTTATTTATTTTTTACTTTGACTCCAGTCTTGGACCATTACAAGAGGATTCAATAGTGTAGTTTTATTTGTTTGTTTATTTATTTTAACAATTTCGAGGTTCTTTTCTCTCTCCATTTATTCTTCACTTTGGTAGGTTGATTTCAACTGATAAAGGGGAAGATTTTTCACGTGAAGGGAGCATGGCCCTGATGGTGGATGCAATTGTGCTGGGTTGTGGTGCGTGGGTATGATGCCTAATAAATTCATAACCAATCAATCTGCACGACTGCATCTTTTTTTTTTTTCCAAATTCACGTGAGAGATCTGATGGGTTGAACTTTTGAAGACGGGTCAGCCCTGTATGTTGAATCGGTATGAGCCGGCGAGCAGCAAACAAATCAGAGCTGGTTGCTCGGTGATCTGTTAGACTGTGAGGTGCTGGGGTCCCAGTCCCGCCTTGTGGCCCGAACAGGAAGTTGGGAACCTTCTTTATTCACACAGAACTCTTAGAGAAGAGAGGAAATGAAATGGGAATTTTTGATGCAAACACAAGTGTGTACCAACTTGACAACGTGATCCTGACCGATCATAAGTGAACATGGCAACATGCACAGCTGTGTTCCGTACACAGAGGGTCACACCACATGTTGGTCCTATGTGTATGAAAAGCTGCCGTGTTCAAGTGTGATTAGTCACACAGCCAGATTCACACAGCAGATCCCAGATCCCGGTGCTTGAAATCTGGACCACATAGCCTTTACATGGGTCGCACAGTCAATTACTTCTATTGCATCCTTATTCATTCACACAGACTTGGGCCAATGTTTGAGAGTGCTTAAAAATAAGTATTTATTTGGGTCATTAAGCACTTATTGGTATTTGAGAAATAAATTTGTTTAATTTTTTTTTTAGTGTTTATACAATAAGTATTTATTCAATTTTTTTTTTCTTTCAAAATTATCTCTAGTTTTTAAAATACCGCTTGTAAAATTATCCTTAATTGAATTTTATAAAAATATTTTTTTGAAAGCAATTTTATGAAAGTATTTTTATGAAAATATTTTTATATAAGTATTTTTATAAAAAATACTTTTAGGAAAGTACTTTTATGAAAGCATTTTTACAGAAGCACTTTTACAAAAGTACTTTTCTGAAAGTGCTTTTGTAAAATATTTTAATGAAAGTAGTTTCTTAAAGTGTTTTCAAATGGTATATTTTGAAAATTTGAAAGAAGATGAAGGACAAAATAGTCACAAATGCTTATTTAAGTACTTATTAGAGAAAAATACTACCAAATGTTTAATATAAAATAAGCTTTGAAAAAGTTGGGTGCCAAATGCAAATAAGTTATTAATTGAATAAGCACTTGTTTTTAAGCACTTAAACAATAAGTATTTATTTTAACTTAAGCACTCCCAAATATGGTCTTGAACTTCTTTCTGTGTAATCTCTCATAAGACGGAGATTCTGCAATTCATCAAGTTGGGCTGATACGAAGATAAAGGACGAGAGGCCCATCCTTAAAATGGATATTGGGCTAAAAGTTATGCCCAACACATCAGTCCTTAGTTTGTGCTAGCAGGAAAATTCTAGCACAATTACTGGCCTTCAGGCTCCATTTGTTTTTCGGTAAGTTATTTATCCGGAAAAATGTATTTATGCATGTTCTTTTATTTTTCTGTTAAATAAGCCAATGACCATTTTAGCCATAAAAATTTATTATTAAAGGGGGCATTTTTTACCCATCCAAGTGTTGTCAACTTTTCCAAGTAAGAAAGTTATTTACCCACTTGGTAGATCGGGGTAAGTGACAGTCAGGTAGATAAACTTTCTCTAGTCTCCACATAAATCTGAAGAAAGAACATAAATTTCCCTAGTCTCCACAATCCCATTAACCAATTTCCCCCCTCTCAAAATCCATAAAACTAAGGCCCCCTAAATCTCAGTTCGGAAGGAATACAAATACAATATATTTTGTATGTATTTTCACTCTATTGTTGCGAGAAACGTTTCCTTTGTTTTCTGCAGGGTGTCGGCAGTGGGCGCCACTAAACAAAATCTCTGGTGGTTTCAATCTAGTCATTATCCATTATTCACTTGTCAACAACTCAAAACACACGCTCATCCACCTTGCTCTTACCACCACACTAGACGTCCTACGACAAGGTCATCGCAGATTTGGAATTCCTTGTACATTATATCTCCATTCTCCACCACCTCTTCGTTGTGGACCTAAACGTGGTCGTTCAGCGGCATTCACTATTACGAATTCATATTGATGATGCACAATCTGGCCGGTCTTAGTTGTCGATGATCTTGCCTCTAAACTAAGTAACAGGGACCTGAAACGGAAGGAGAAGAGAAGCTCCGGGGAGAACCCGGCGTAAGGGCTCCGAAGCTCAAGTTAGAATCCTTCAAAGGCAAGAWWAACCAGATAGCGCGAAAGTTAGCATACCTCGTTCCTAGGGGGTAGAAGCCTTTTATAACCAC